TGGATGTCGCTGACCACAAAAACTGGTATCAACGCCAACTATATCAGCTCGGAGTTCAATTCTTTGCCAAGAGAACCAGGCCACGTCTGAACCGAGACACTCTTGATGCTATCGCATTCAAACGTCATCTCCTAGACTGTGCCAGGCATTGGGGTATCGCCCAATCGCCTGAATTCAAAGACATCATCAAGCCCATTGAAAAAACGATTCGTGCCAAAGTCAAGACTGACCTCAATTGTTTCTATGGCCAGCTACTTGTACAGCTTCAGGAGGCAGGAAGTCTGGGTGATCAGAAGACCGTCTTCCGAACCCTCACCAAGCTCGGAGGCCGCAACAGAAAACTTGGAACGTCGGTACGCCCACTCCCCATGTGAAAAAAGCCAGACGGCACTCTCGCCCAGACTTTCCAGCAAAGGCAGCAAGTATGGATGGAGCAATTCACAGCCATTAAAGCCGGGCACCCCTTGCCAGTTAAGGCTTTGCAACACAAGGATGCACAACTTGGATGTGAGATCCTTGATCTCCCTCAGCCTGAATCATTTCGTGCAGTTTGGACATTCAGATTGGCTTGCGCAAGTTGAAACGAGGCAGGGCCCCAGGCCCCAATAATATCCCCCCTGCCCTTTTAAAGGCTGGAGGCGAGTTTTGCCCGCCAATTTTTGAACTTGCTCAGCAAGTGCGCAGCGCACTCCCATGAACCCCTCGATTGGAAGGGGGGGCCCTTGTTCCCGCTCCACAAAGGAAAGATGCACCCGGCCGAACCAGAGGGACCGCTCCAAATTTGTACCCGATTTCACTGCGAAACTCTATCATATGACGCTACGACGGCCTCTTGAAGAAACTTGGACCCGATCACTCCACTCCCTGGAACTGGGAGGGCGCAAAGGCCAGGGTACGGATATGGCTCACCATTTCTTGCAGACATTCTGGCATTGGGTCACCAAAGTCAGAAAACCAGCCGCCCTCATCTTTTTTGATGTACGTGCAGCATTTTACAGTGTCATCCGTGAGACCCTGTTCCCTGGTGATGGTGACATCCACCAACTGATTCAAACCCTTTGTCAGATGGGCATTGCAGATGACCTTGCTAACCAGATTGCTGAAAAGGTTGATCAGGATTTTGCCCTCTCAGGAGTTTCCGAGCACATGTTAGCAATCCTGAAAGATGCCATGACCAATACCCATTTTTACATTGATGGTGTCGACGAGCCCTGTCGCACCCGCAGAGGCACACGACCTGGAGATCCGATCGGAGACATACTTGTCATGCTTGCTCAAAGATGCCAAGCAGCAGATAGCTGACAAAGCCTCCATGACATGGTACGGCCACCCTGGCCCATGCGTCGATTACACAACCTCCATGGAGCTGCCTGCGCATGGCGTTTTCGATATCTCCTTCGTAGATGACTGTGCTTTTGGAATCCATGGCACCAACATCACCCAAGTTGAAGAGGGTATCAAAGTCGTTGTTGAAGCCATGGTGCCAGAGCGCACGGATACAAAAGAATTGAAAGGTACTATGCCACAGGGACCTCCTGCGACTCGTGTGGCAAGTATTACCATGCCAGAGCCCGACTCCTGGCGCACCTCTATGATTGTCCTGATTGCCTGGCCACTCTGCAAGCCTGCTTCCCACCCATTAGTGAGGAAGAGGTTGCACAGTTGGATGCAGAAGACAAGCACTATGCCATTGACATGCGGATTCAAGGGCTGGTGGCGAACAAAAGCCTTTGCTCCACCGGTCCGCTTCTCAGGACCCCTTCTGCCCAAACATGACACGCCAGAAGCATGCCTCTTCAGGGTGTACTGGGATGTGCGCACAGCACAGCCGGGCACCTCATCTCAAGAGCTGCAAGGCCACTTGGCCACGCCTGCACCAACCCCACAACCGAAAGTCCGACTGTTTGCGGACGATTTGCCAGGCGCCACCCGGACCAAATCGTGGGGGTGGTTCCCTTGACCAGATCGGATTGGCCCGTGAAACTGCACGGCTCCACATCAAGTGGTACGTTTTTGTACATTTTTTCAATGGATACAGACGCCAGCACGATCTACATGGCATCCTAGAACAAGCTCCACTACCAGCTGGCTCTCAGCTGCTGACCATTTCCATTGATCTGTGTATGCAGAAACGTGACGGCAATCTGGCCGCTGACACTGCGACCTCCTGGTGGATTGCACGAATGCAAGCAGGCCAGCTCATCGGAGCTGGAGGTGGACCCCCATGTGAGTCTTTCACAGCGGCTCGTTTTCAGGACAATGGACCCCGCCCTTTGAGAACTGGCCAGCACCCTGATGGACTCCCGGCCCTCAATGCGAGAGAATGGCAACAACTCCGTATTGGTTCGCGCCTTGTCTTCTTTATCTTTTGGAACTTGCCATCATAGGTGGATGCGGATTTATCGAGCATCCCCAATGGCCAGTCTGGGCAGTCAGTCATGACCCTGCCAGCATATGGGCGACGATGCAAGCACGCCTTTGCAAGACTTTGCACTGCTGCAGTGTCGTTGGCTTCGACCAATGTATTGTCGGAGCCCGTGCCAAAAAAACCCACGACGTTGCTGCTCTTGCCCTTGGATTCCTTCAGACATTAGATGCTGCGACTGGGCCTGGGAGGAAGGTGCCCCCACGCGAAGGGTGCTCATCAAAGACTGCAAGGTCGAAACGAGAACGGAGAATTCAGAACGGCCATTGGAAAAATTTATCCTCATGGGCTCAATGCAGCCCTGGGTCGAGCCATTCGCCGCTTTGCAGCATTGACTTTTGACTGCAAGCTTTTGGCACAGGAGCTCCCCGAGGAACTTAGAGCTTTCACACAGCAGGTTTTTGAAGCTCCGGATACAGTTCAGCCTGATTTTCATGGAGCTGAGGCCTAATGCACTCTGTACAGTGCGTGTGTAGCCATGCATGAGACCAAGCACCAACTGGTGCAGATACCGCAAAGTGGCAAAAGTGATGTAAAAGGACTTTAGTTATGTTTTGTTAATGGGATGGCTTATCATTGGGTTACCACATTACACATGATTGTTATACCCCACTTTTTAAATCCCATCAAGTAGATAGTTATAAACCACCGATTTCACCGAGTGATGTTCACCAACTTAGCGATCCGGAACACCAACCGAATAGATCAGAATCCCTTTTTTATATACATTAAAAAAAAAAAAACTAGACGACTGATGGCCCGAGAGCGTAGAGGAGCAGGGTCTTCTCTTGTTAGTATGGAGACACAATTTTACAAACAATATATGAAAGATGTGTTATAGGCAGTCGAGAAGAGAAGTAGCAAGACAAAATAGTGAGAAGTGCAAGACAATAGTTTGCATCGCAAACACTTTTACACACAGACGCTTTTACACACAAAAGTTTTTACACACAGAAGCTTTTACACACAGAAGCTTTTACACAGAGGCTATTACACACAAAGCTGTTACCCACAGAAGCTTTTACATACAGACGCTTTTACACACAGATGTTTTTACACACAGACGCTTTTAAACGGACACTTTTACACACAGACATGTTTACACACAGACACTTTTACACACAGACCTTTTTACAGACAGGAGCTGCTTTTACACACAAACGCTTTGACACACAGAAGCTTTTACACATAGACGCTTTTACACACAGGCACTTTTACACAAACACTTTTACACACAAACACTTTTACACACAAACACTTTTACACACAGACGCTTTTACACGCAGACGCTTGTACACACAGAAGCTTTTACACACAAACACTTTTACGCAGAAACACTTTGACACACAGACGCTTTTACACACAAACGCTTTGACACACAGACGCTTTTACACACAGACGCTTTTTACACACAAACGCTTTGTACACACAGACGCTGTCACACACAAACACATGTACACACAGAGGCTTTTACACAAACACTTTTACACAAACACTTTTACACAAACACTTTTACACACAGAAGCTTTTACATACAAACACTTTTACACACAGACGCTTTTACACACAAACGCTTTGACACACAGACGCTTTTACACACAGACAACCTCTACACACAGACGCTTTTTACACGCAAACGTTTCACACACAAACACATTTACACACAGAGGCTTTTACACAGAAACACTTGAACACAAACACTTTTACACACAAACACTTTTACACACAGACGCTTTTACACACAGACACTTTGACACACAGACGCTTTTACACACAGATGCTTTTACACACAGAGACTTTTACACACAGACGCTTTTTACACACAGGCGCTTTTACACACAGACAAGAACGGCACAAGTAAAATCGCACTTTTACCTCAGTTTTTGCCGATCGACCCTCATTTCGCGCGAAAGGGTTGCTCCAGGACAAGTAAAATCGCAGTTTTACCTCAATTTTTGCCGATCGACCCTCATTTCGTGCGAAAGGGTTGCTTTAGTACACGTAAAATCACAATTTTACCTCAATTTTTGCCGATCGACCCTCATTTCGTGCGAAAGGGTTACTCCGGCA